GCTGCTCTATCTCTATCGGTGTACGTATCGCGCTCCAACAAAACCTCTCAACTTTGCCTCTCTTTTCTCGCGGCACTGCGACGCGACACAGCTTTTACCACGATTCGTCGTGTTCCTTCGATCGTCCAAGATCGACCGATGCCTCTCACCTTCTCGCACAGAACGCGAAAAGCGATCTACGTTCTCGGACGTTTGCTGGCGCCGTGCCAGGCAAACGCGTTCTAACACTCTGATCGAAGAAGCTATCGACCCGCTCTTCCCTTTCGATTTTTATCTTCTTCTATTACCGCGTTTGCCGTTTCTTTTCTCTTCTTCTCTCTTCTCTCCTCTTCTCTTCTCTCTTCTTTATTTCTCTTTTCCCTCGATACTGCCCTACCGCGCTTTCGTGGAAATTTTCCCTGCAACTCCGGTAATTAATAGGCCGGTCGGTTCGATAATCTCTTTTCCCAGCCGGCGCTTCCTTCCAAGTTCTCTGGAATCTATCGTTTCGTCGGTCGAAACTTCGTTATCGTGGCAACTGCTTGCTCCAGCTACGCCGTTATCTCGAATTTGCTCGCTGCTCGTTTAATTAAATGATTCCGAAAGTTTTTCTGAAACCGACGCTCTCCGTTGTGTACGTGTTCGTCGGATGGTTGACGGCGGCGCGGTATCGATGCGACTTTGCGGTTAGTCACCGACCTGTCACTTGGAAGACGCGCGCGCGTCCCGCGCGACGCTAATTAGAAAACTTGACAGTCGATAATTCTCCGGCGTACGTGACTCGTGATTTTCCGATCTTTGCTTTCCTCGCCTTCTCCTCGCCTCTTCTACTCCTATATCTTCTATCGCGTCTGATATCCAGCGATGTTATTCCCTGACAAAGTTCCAGCACGATTTGGTAAATAGATTACGCTAAAGTTACCAATCGAGGCGTCGATATTGCCGGTGCCGGTATCTCGTTAACGGTCGAGAAAAGCGCACGTTCGGACGATCGAACGGAAACCCAGTCGAACTAGATCGATCGATATAAACGCGATCGCAACCTCGAAATTCGTCCCTTTCTCTCTCCGCTTTCTCGCCGCTTTTACGTTTTCCCGCCGCCGTATTCCACCAATGCGGCTAGTCCAGGGCGAAGAATTTACGCGTATCGAACGTGGGTCGCGCTCTGCCGCGTTACTTCGATTCCACGATTCTACCTGTTCGCGGTGCTACGTCGATACGATAAATTAGTTATCTTAACGACGATCCGATCGAATTCTCTGCCGCGAAACCAAACAGAGATTATGAGCGATATGGTTTCGATGCTGGGTCACGTTCTTCCCTCCCTTGCCTCCTCGCCCCTTTACGCCATCCCTCTACGTGCCTTCCCCGGCCATTTGTCACAAATAAAGAGATCTCGTTGAGCTGCTAGAAGCTTTACGATCGAGGCAGCCTTTCCGCGCCAAGATTTAATCGTCGTTGTCCTCGGCGAAAGATGGCTGGCACAACGGATGGTACGCGGTGTCGCGAAGCTATCGTTTCCAGATCCAACGACCTTGAACTTCACCGACTATAGCGTTTGCCGACAAAGCGGGTAAACCGGGATCGGTGCGAATCGCGGGCTCGACACGCGCGTTACGCGCGTCGCGGGCAACGAAAGATTCCGGGAACCTAGTGGAACGTATTTACGTAAGTACACGGTAGTACTGTACATACGGCGGGATACTCGTCCAGGGAAACCTGGAAATCACGGTTTATCTTTACAACTTAAACGTGCTTTATCGCGCGAAACGATTACTCGGCGCCGAACGACCAATGCGTAAACGGTAATTCAGCTGCTCGTTCGAACCTGGACACGGTCGTATCGGTCGCTATCTGAAATTACACGAAATTATGGAAAATTAGGTCGCGTGTTGACCGATGTACGCGAAATACGCGGTTGCGCTTGCCACGGAAATATCTAAATCGTACGAGTTACAGTTTCCAACTCCGCTCGGTCGCCTTTCGTTCTTAGGCTACTTTCTACGTTCAATTTCGAGCAACCGCGATCTTCAGTTTGTTCGAGGGGCGACGCGACGAAAGCGTGTAAGACGCGTCCCCCCAGTTCCACCGATTTTTCAGATAATTTTTCGCCCCTCTGCTGGGGAAATAGGCGCGGTTAGCGCGAGTTCGTGGCTTTTGAAAACCGACGAGCCGAGTCTGGGTCACGGAATTAGCGGATGCGTGTTAATTTGACGAAACTGTGAAACGGAGAGCGCGTGACAGGAGCGACGAAACCGTGCTCCGATCAGGCACACCTGTTTGTTCGCGCAATAGCGATCGACGCCTTTGCAGCGATCTATACGAACACCTGTAAGCGCGCGAAAGCACATGGTCGTTAATCAAGCCGATACGTTTCTCCAAACTGCCATGCAAATGAATCGCGTACGCCGGTCGTGTTTCGTGCCAACGAACCCTGCGCCTCGTCGATTCCAGCCGAATCCGGTCGTATTTCCAGAAGAAAATTGATCGTGCCGTTTCGAAAATAGCCATGGAACGCGGTCGACCGATTTAATGATTTCGCAATGTTTGGACAGGTGACAGGCGGAACGCGTCGATTCTCTGATACGAACTCGACGATATTCCACGAAAAGCGACATAATCCAAAGGGGGCCGCGATATCGATAAAGTCGCAACTTTCCTTCCTTTTCCTACTAAGAGGTCCGCGTCGCCAGAGAATCGCCTGTTAAACAGAGTTTCGAAATTCGTGGAATTCCAACGATTCGCCAAGAAAACGATTAAGTGGAAAGACGCGAAGTTTGAACGTGATCGCCCGGGTAGAAGAACGGATCTATGCGCGAGATTATGTACATTCCCGTCCGTAAGTATACATTCGGACACTTGTCTACATACCTGGCAATTTCGCATAAATATCTTACTTTAGTTTCTTTTAGGAATTCATTACGTCGCCCTACGTTATCCTCGCGTTATTTCCCCACGATGTCCGTTGAGAAATAACACGGACGAAATTATGATAAAGTGGAGGTAAGCGTAAACGTACGTATAGAAATGACACAGTGGCATCAAGATGATAAAAATACGGTTTCCCATGATATTGTCTCCAGTCTGACTGTTTTCACCGTGCCATCCATTTCATACTTTCGTCTCCTGTAGAGTCTGATATTTCTGCATCTTTGGACGGGTATTAAAGCCATCGTCGCTCTAAAGAGAAACGCATAATTTTCCCATTATATCGGCGTATCACCAAAGCGTTTGCATCGGGTAAGATGTTGCTCCCCTCCTGTCCAAGGGCTTACGACTTGAATACGTAGAATACCGATTAGTCCGCGCTCAACTATACTTTATGCATCGGAATATAGCGATCTCGACTGTTGTATATCTATCTTTCTTGTATCTTCTCGTATTACGTTGTTCGATCGGTAATCGCAATTAAAAACGCTGCAGCGAAGTTGTACATCGTTGAAGTGGTCACCACTTCTAAGAAAACTCTACATCCGGTCTTTTTAGTTTTCTCAAGCACCGAAGCCATCGACAGCGAATAGACAATAGACTGGGACGAAGGCAGACCATAGACAGTAGACGGGCAACGATGGCTTCGGGGTTTTCAGTTACAGGGTAACATCGTTAGCGTGCGGATCGGGACCAGTTCAAATTATATTGCTAGTTGTACTTACGCTTCTGTATTAAAATATATTTTCTACTTTAGAATTTATCCACGCGTTCCTCTGCTCATACATCCAATAACCTCGACGACATATATAAACTTCCATAAACACTTGCACGAATTAAATTAGAATTGAATGGAGATGTAAGCAGTCACCGCATGGAAGTATTCGAGCTGCAGCCGCTGAAATTTCCTCCACTCTTCGATCGTGCGACGTCATCTTACTAGTCGAAACGTCGCTTCACCCTGCTATGTGTATCTACTCTGGTCTGAACTTTAGTCACTGAATTATAATGTTTATCGCTGCGATCGATCAACGCTCACCGGCGACGACTTCACCATGGATGAAGGGGAGTTTCGATAGCAGTTAAAAAATCACTTTGCAGCTTTCGTGTGCGTTTTTCGAATAATGATACCAAAGTTACGTACACGCATTCAAATAATTCTGTATATATAATGGGAATTACCAAAATAATATTAATCGCCAACCAATTTTGCAATAGCGTTCGCATCTTCTGTAAATCTGTAGCTTCTTTCAAACTATCAGCTATTGTGTATATATATATATTATCGTATATACAGTAATAATCAATTGTATATTCCATCTTATTATTTTCTTTCCCATTTATCATATATCGCTTGTTACGTAGCATCGTTACTTTTTATTCCAACTCCGTCTTCTGATACGTAACTACGCGTACAAATGGGTTTCCCTTCCTGTTAGTTACAAATAAATAGTACCATTATTATTATTATTATAAAATCCAACCTCTGGTCTCTTTCGCGGTCTAAAGGAAGCTAGAAACTTCGCTGGAATTTTTAGTCGACAATTTTAACTGCCGTGGTCGAGTCCAGATAAACCAAATTCTCCACCGTTTCCGATCTTCTCCTGATCTATTTTTCTCCGACGATAGTTTATGGCTTCGCTGTCTACGGTTACCAACCTACGTAACCGAAACTGTCACAATGTCTCGGCCAGTCTCGATCGTTTCGGTCGAGTGAACACCGATATCGCTGGTTCAGACCGATTTTGAGAAGGCCGTTGGATACAGCGTGCCATGGAATTCTTTTGCCAAAATCGTATTCGTCAGGCTTCCGTAAGCCGCTGCTGCCTTGGCTGGCGAGTTGATCGCGTGACCTTGTAAGGTTGCTGGTCTGTGCTTAATACCAGATCGATGTCACCTCGGATGTTCCACGGGGATCTCATTCGGGAGCTCTACTATTCACCTTGTTTGTTAATAACATCGCCAAAGAGCTTCAATATCGCCGCTTCCCGCTATACATCGACAACTTAAACGTATTTAAGCAGATCACGAACACGTCGGACTGTTGTCTGTTACAACAAGATTTTAATGACTTGGCACGCTGCGGAGTGGGATCAACAACGGCGTGCCATCGAACTGCGGCAAATGTTTTCTTACGAGGTCTTCCCGGAAGCTACGTCCCGTCGAGCACAGCTACGAACACGGCGGAGAGACTCTGTTGCGTCGAATCGGCGATACCGATGAATCTGGCAGCTTCTTTCGCACACCTTTCCAACTTCTTCCTTCGTATCCAGGATATCACGTCAAATGGCAATCCCGTACGACTAGACGCAGAAACCACCTAGAGAGAATCCAACACATTTCTCCGAGGTTTCTCGCTTATAAATCCGGCCACTCAACGAACCTTCGTGACGCTTCTATCGTAGCTAAATATAAATTTCGTTTGCCAGGCGATTGGCTGACGAAGCAATTTTTCTATTTAAAATTTTTAATCGATTTATCGACTGTCCACAGTTCCTTAGTTTCGTCAACTTGCATACAGCATCCTGGGTCTCCTTATTCCACTCTGCGGCATTCTCCTCCAGATTTGGCTACATAAACGCTATGGACTCGTATAGGCAAGTTAGGTAACACTTTGTGCAATGGCATTAACTTTTTTCCACTTCAATTGGCGATCTCATACGGAAGGTCCGGGTAGTTTTAAGTTCGACGTATTCGTACACGCGTTTGTCCTTTGGTATCACAGTGACTGTATGTGTAGCCCAACACTGCTTTTCCTCTTACCGTGTATCACCTTCTTGCAAGAAGGGATCTTTCCACGTTTCGTTGATAAATAAAGCAACAAATTAAATTAAAAAATCCCAGTACCTCGAGGCTACTGAATTGCGCTGTAACTAGACCTGGTCTAAAATACGCGGTAGTTGTTCCATCGTAGTGTTCAGCGTCGCATCTTGAGATTTGTCGCGT